TACGCGTGCGCACGTGTGTTCCTGTTAAGACGGTCCGCTTCTACTACCTCAGCAATATTCCATGCCATGACATGAGGGAGAAAAACAACTCAAGGAGAAAGATAACCATGGATGGAAGAGATTCCATGTCCAACTGATCGAGGCTGAGCCTTGGTTTCCATAGATCTAAGAAACCCTATGGTTGATCGTATAATATGAGAGAAACCTATTTTGAACTCTAGTTCACAGCAAGAAGCTTTGACACACAGACATTTGATACAGAGAGGTCTCAAAGGGTAAACATTCTATTACAAAGTAACCATAACATTCATTCATTGAAGGGGAAGGGTATGATAGACTGACAGAATTTTTTAAGGATAGAGTTGAAGAACTATTAAGTCTCCTGCGGAAATAAAATATATCGCACGGCACATAGAGCTTGCTGGTGAATGGTAATAATGAGTTATAAAAATGCTATTTAATATCGTTTATTGTTGAATTAAGATCTACTAGTGGCACTCACCAACCGCCCACACTCCATATCTGCAATTTGTGTGAAGATTACACGTATAAGAATTGAAAACAAAGATAAAAAGAATGATATGAACGGAACGTCAATATTTTTTTTAAAACTGTTTAAAACTTTTTTTTGCGTGCCGTACATGAGTGTTGGAGAATTTTAGACAAGGACGTTACCGGAAACTCCCCTTTTCTCAAAACAAGGACGTCCGCGAAAAAAAAAGGATTTGCAGAATGCCAGACCAAAGCATATTCCATGTCGGCGTTACACATAGGCCTATATAATATAAATAGACACTCAGTCTTTGGTTCAGTCGAGATAAGCCACAAACAGCAAACTACAGCTCGAGTCACAGCTAGAGTGGAGGAAGATTTTCATCAGTCAGTGGCCTCATCTCTCCTATTCTTGCAATCTACATAGTCATCAAAATGGCTTCGCTCAAAGTCTTCGCTGCGTGTGTTCTTGTGTTTATGGGACTTGTTGCACTTGGTAAGTTGGTATCGTGGAAAAAAAACAAAAACAACTGAAAAACTTTAACGCATAATTGTTCAAAATGAACGTGTTGGTTCTAAACACGGTAGAGAGTTGATCGCACGAGCCTGTCACACACACACCATACATTACATAACTATTATAGGTATTATTTACGCACATAATATAATACATGTATTATGCTGCTGCTACTACTACTACTACTACTACTACTACTACTACTACTACTACTACTACTACTACTACTACTACTACTACTACTACTACTACTACTACTACTACTACTACTACTACTGCTGCTGCTGCTGCTGCTGCTACCACCACTACTGCTGCTGCTGCTGCTCCTGTTGCTGCTGCTGCTACTACTACTACTGCTGCTACTACTATTACTACTACTGCTACTACTACTTTATTATTATTATTATTGTTATTATTATTATTATTATTATTATTATTATTATTATTATTGTTGTTGTTATTATTATTATTATTATTATTATTATTATTATTATTATTATTACTATTATTATTATACCCGCATTTCAATAATTGAAAGGGGAATTAGCCTTTATCATGTACAATCACAAACATTTAACATCGTCCCCACCACCCACCACCCCCATCCCCCCTTTACCAGGCCAGAGCGCCCCGGTCGATGTTCGGTGTGAAGATATGGGATGTTTTGCCCTCTATGACCCCGTGTGTGGCTCTGACGGACACACGTACAGCAACTCCTGCACGCTCGACGTGGCAAACTGTGGCAAGACTGGTGATGACGTCATCAAACAGGTGTCCAAGGGTGCCTGTGGTGATGACAGTTAGTCAAGGAGTTTACAGTTCTAAACTCCTTGCAGTTAGTCCATACACGTACGGTGTATATTATTCATTGTATTGTATGGCGAGACTTCTACTACTAACACGAGATATTAAAGTCTTTTAATTATTTTTTTTATCCTTTCACAGCAAACGAAATAAAAGAGAAATGGAGAAACTCTACGTTAAGCCTTTCCCCCTTGTTTTTCAAAATATTTGCTTTTACCTTACCCTTATTTATATATATATATATATATTCAGAGAGCATAATACCCGTCTCTAAACCTAGTATGTATCTGGGACGTAGGTTGTTAATGTTTAAGTTTTAGATCTTGGTGTGTTTCTATCGGAGAGCGTGAACTCGTTGAGGCCCTAAGGCTCTGACCAGGAGAACATCAGAGCCGCGCCCTTTAGAGAAAAAACTCAGAGCCGCGCACTTTTTGACGATATCGATACAATCAGATTGCTGATTACCAAAACCAATACCAACCAACAATGTTGTCAGCGTTTTACTAGGCTTGTGACCAGCATCAATTTTAAATTGAATGAAATGGCTTTTCAAGTAAAAAAAACAACATATCTACAGGACAGAGGAATTTTTTTTCATGCAGGGGCAGCATTTTCTTGCTCATTCAGGATAAAATGTGAAGTTGAGAGAACTGTCCATCTGCATAGGCCTATATTTGCTTTGAACAATTCTCCCTTCCTCTTTCTTAGGCAGTGTCATTCTGTTTGGTCTATGTTTTTCGTTTCGGCTTAGAAACGGTCTGAAAGTCGCTTAACGCCTCCAGAAAGACAACTGTATAATTTGGATGGGGGATTTACAGAGTAATTTTATCATGGGGGCCGTAACCGTTGAATAGAACCGGTAGTCTAATTGTATCGATATCGTCAAAACGTGCGCAGCTTTGATAGTTTTTTTCTCAAAAGTGCGCGGCTCTGATAGTTTCCCCTCTGACCACACTGCAGGCACGCAAGGCGAAGCGGGGCGAGAAGGGGCGAGAAGGGGTAAAAAGTGAAAACATTGGGTGGTTACACCTGGAGCGAGGGAAAAGCAGGCGGTGCAATACAACGACGTGTGATATTGTATTTTTATATAATAGGTTTCAGTTGAACATGGACAGGAAAAGATTGACGTTATTTGTCCTTGTCGACGAGTAGACTCAACTGTAAAAAGAAAATCAAGAAAGGAATGGGTGCACCCGATCGAACGACTGCAAATTCTTTCACTGGTATATGAATAAGAAGGGAGTATAGTGAAAGTGAAAGAAGTACAGACACATAATACGAGGAAGAGGCATCTAATTTCTTTTTAGAATTTCTTCTTTTTTTCACGCTTTATCCTGATGTGGTGAATGGGAAATAGGAACGTAGAATACTCAGCGTGTTTAAAAACAATTCAATGATAATATCTTGGTTTTAACAATATACAGGGAGTTTTAAACAGGTAACTAAACACATATATACACGCATATACGTACACATGTATACAAACATATACACACATAAACACGCTGCAGTTGCGAGCGAAGAAGAAGAAGAAGAAGAAGAAGAAGAAGAAGAAGAAGAAGAAGAAGAAGAAAAAGGAGGAGGAGGAGGAGGAGGAGGAGAAGAAGAAGAAACTTCATTTAACTGCGAACAAAAGAAATCAGAAAAACAAAGAATTGTTAGTGGCAGTAGAAGAACACAAATCAAGAAAATGACCCCAAAAAAACTCAGACAAAATTAATTTTCAGTGCTGGCAGTCACTGTTAGATTCTCTTCTCCAGACTTATGTTGTAAATACCTATACACATGTATAAGCTAGGTTGTTTGAGCTCACGGTTAATCTATTATATATTTGGCAACTTGGAAACACATGTGTCACTTTTCCCGTAAAATTGCGACAGCTACAGAGTTGAAAGTTGACAAGTACCTGCTAAAAGATTTAGATAGGTCCCCATGACGGAGCCCGATTTTTTATTTATTCATTTCCTAAATTTAGAAAAATATATGTATTTGACAAAAAGTTACCGTCCTTCTTTGGCCTTTGTGATTGTTCTAGTGAGTAACGAAATAAATCTTCACAACAGAAGTTCATTGCCGCTCTTTATCATTCGCCTAAGTAACACAATTCAAGAGACGGAGTGAGTAATTTTCGAAACTCACCTGTAGTACGTAGAGACGTGATCCTGTGTACGCTTCCAAAGAGTTGTTTTTAGTATAATATAGGGCCCAAAGAGAAAAACGTTTTTATTACTGGGACAATATTTTTTGAAAAAATATTTTTATTTGGTCGCTCTGCAGAAGTGCCATGCAAAGTTTCGTGAGCACAGGTAAATTTGTCAATGAACTAGGATTTTTTTAACGCTGTCAGAGAAAAGTGAACAAGATAGACACTGCCTCTGTGATTTTGAAAACGTCGGTGTGTTCCTTTTACAGTGTAGCAGCCCTTTCGTGAATTATTATTTTCTTAGTGCTTTTTGTGATGTTGTAAAAGTCGAAATCCGTATTTTGTGGTTGCAAAGGGCTAGACAGCAATACACTAAAGCTATGTAGGTCAAGAGAGGAGTTAACCAGAGTAGACCTAATCTAAAGCAATATAGATCTAGAAGCCAGGGGTGACTGTGAAAGGCTAGACAGTAATGTAGATGTAAAATACCTCCGCGGCGTAGACCAGGAGGAGCAGAGACGCCAAGGCGTTAACCCCGAGCAAAGCCGGGTACTCAGCTAGTACATGTATATAATTAATTGCAGAAAATGCTATACCAAGGGAAGTAATTTTTTAAAACCATATATTCCATATGATGGGTCTTTTTTCCCTTGAACATAATGTAGATTTCAGTCTGCTTCTACTCCTATTTTTTATCATTTAGTTACACCTGGGGCGCCATGACACACGTTTCAGTGGGAACTAAATCATTACTGTACATTATATTCTGTGTACACCTCCACCTCCCCCCGGCCCTCTACTTTTTTTTTAATCGACCCAATTTAGATCCTTTACTGTGTTAGCTTCGACTGTTCCTATCACGGCCAACTCGGGCTGAGAGGAATACAACGTCCCAGAAGAACGACAGAGATGCTCGGCAAAACTTCTCCCCACACGAGATTCGAACCCACATCTTCTGTGTGCAACGAAAAAGCGCCTACAAAAGTCGCTTATCTACTTATCTACTTATATAAACTTAATAAATTCTCAAATGTTTGGCTTGAAATACTCGCCATCAAACCCAATTTCCACACAGCCAAATTCAAGCTAAGGTCAGGAAACCATAAAAATATAGCAGTTGAAAATTTGGGACGACTACATTATCGTTATCTCGAATATTCAAGAATGGTTCACAAGCTGCAATTTTAAGATTGGCTCATGAGTCTTCGTGTGTGCACGCGCGGCGCGTGCATGCGTGTGTGTGTGTGTGCGTGTGTGTGTGTGTGCGTGTGTGTGTGTGTGTGTGTGTGTGTGTGTGTTT